TACCTGTCTCTCCTGTGTTTTACACTAATAAAATCTCTCTGGTATCTTTCTCTCTGGCAGAGTAATCCCCTGCCCACTTGTCTTCTAACTGAAACCCTATTTTAGTCTCCTGAGTTCAGAAATTTGGAGACACATTGAAATAAATTGAGAAGTACAATATTCATATTGCCCATTCATTAAATGCAATTTAGTTAATGGTTTGGTTCTGTCCCCACATTTGCATACTCAATTTGTTTATATTTGTGTGAGGGGCAAATAAGGCCGTAAAGGAAGCATAGCAAGAGGAGCATAGTAAAGGGGGAAATAAGTCGGTTGAGGTGTACCGGAACCGAGGTCGCAGCAGGTCTGTAATAAAAGAGGGCCCACCCATGAGATGTAATAAAAATATAGATAGAGGGAGTGGAGGGTGGGGACAAGCGAATCGCTATAATCAAGTACGGGACGGAGGAAGGTGAGTAGGGGGGTTTAAGTAGTGTGACAAGCCCCTCCCACAACTGCAGGCCAAGCCTTTTCATTTGTGTGAGGGGCAAATAAGGCTGTATAGGAAGCATAGCAAGAGGAGCATAGTAAAGGGGGAAATAAGTCGGTTGAGGTGTGCCGGAACCGAGGTCGCGGCAGGCCTGTAATAAAAGATGGCAAAAAGTTGATACATCCCAGAAACGTAGAACAATCAAACAACTGATAAGAAAACCTTAATTGCCTAGCTATATGGTAAAGCCGGTTGAAAACTTGGCGGTACGTGGTACATATGGGGGAATATGCTGAGAGCTTCCATTGACCTAGAGATTAAATATATACGAACCAAAGTGAACTAGATTGAAGCCATAGATGCCACCCTATCCTAGAGGCGTGACCAGAATAGTAGAACTGATTAAAACTGGCCCCAAGATCAATGCACCAAAGAAAGTCGGAGTGTAAGGACTGGCCCCAGTAGTGAGATCTGTGATAGTTAGGCTTGATTAGAAAAAGAGTAAATAGGTGCCCATTTCCTTGTGGTTGGTCTAAAAGAAGGCAAAAAACCTAGTTTGAAGCACTGCCAATTTTGCAACAAGCTAGGGAAAAATTCCTTCTTGACCCCAGAATGGCAGTCAGATTTATCCTTGGATCAAGCAGTTATTACCCTACATTGAAGGCTGGTGTCTGGTTCGTAAGGACAGGCGTCTAATAGGTCTGATAGTGATTGAACTAATTGGATGTGGATGGGATATCTGCAAGATTTGAAAATCCTGGGAGCCGGAAATGTCTTGAGTATGGTACTAAACTGGTATGAGGACATGAAACTGCGTATGAAAGATAAACCTGTAACAGCATGTGAAGTTGTAATAAGTAGAGTTGATGCAAGTTAGAGGTGGCAAAAAGAAGCGAAAACCAAATGCAGACAACCTAGCAAAAAGACAGTAACAGAATACGCGAAAGGAGCAGCAAAGGAGAAGGCCCTAATACATGTATCGCGAGTGTCAATAGAAAGAACCCGATGAGAAAGATGACGACCATGAGCTAACAAGGCTGGTAGTCCGCGAGCAGAGGACAGCAGTGGCTACGGGAGAGGCTGAAGGCAGAGCCAAGAGGAATGCATGGAGGAGGCACAGGAGAGATCGTATAAAAAAGGTGCAGGAAGTCTGGCTCGGATCCGGCCAGAGCGGCAGACGTCAATTACCCAAAAACTGCCAATCTGAAACCGCCCTATTGACAACAGTAGCGGAGGATGGAAAAGCGTTACTCGTGGAGGCAGACAGATGCTGAGAATTCAGCTGACCGAAAGGGTGCTAGGGAGGGAATAAGTCGACTCGCGAGAAACACAGCGAAGTGAGGAAGAGACCAGGTCACGAGAGGGAGTAGCCGAAACTCCACAGCGCGATGAGTACCAGACCTAGCCAGAGAGCCAGGCTGAAAGAAAAAAAAAAATAGCACGCCAGCGCCAGGCAATGGAGACCTGCTAAGAGAGAGATGAAGAAACAGTGCATACGCTACCCAATGTGTGTGTGCGTGAGTGTGAGCTGGCATACTAGCTAATGCCAAAAAGGCAAACAATTAAAACTAGGTTTGGTGACAGGTGAGGCCCTGCTAAATGCCAAGCGGCGGGAGAGGCTCTATCTATGCGTTGGCGCGAGGGGACGAGGCCACTGAACGTTGTGGCGGGGTGTCGGCCTCTCGACTGTTAAACATAAGATAGAATGGGGGTGACAGGTGAGGCCCTCCCTTTGCCACAGTGCGAGGCGACTAACTATGATTTGGCCCGAGGGGCATAGTACCTCCGAGTATGAGGATGGGTGTTGGCCTCGCGGGACCACTAACCTAAGGCGAAGAAGCTGGGGGGGAAATTACCACTCGGACCCTAACAGCCAGCAACAGCTAACTAAGAGGGGATGGGTAAGGAGTGAGAGAGTGGATGCACTGCGTGACGAAGATGAGGGGGTTTTGAGGAGGAATCATAAAGCAGACTCTAATGCTCCTTCTGGAAAATAATGGAGCACAGGTATAGCGGGCAGACTTGGCCCAGCCAAGCAGGGAAACAAAAACCAAAGGTGAATACGCGGGTCACACCCCGTGATGGGACCGAAAACTGCTTGACAACAGCAACTACGTAGCTTAAGACCGCACATGACAGCAGGAAAAGGAAACACTAATTAAATTTTTTTTTTTTTAAACCTTGCACAACAACACCTAAATCAGCTGCAGGTTATTGATTTAATTCTATATCATTCCAGGGGAAATTGCCATATAGAAGCACACTAGATCTGTACCTGCAGAGGTCCTAGGCAAAACACTGCAAGGGGCATGAGCCAGCGGAGCCTGACCCGGACGGACAACAGAGGCTTGGAGCGCCAGGGACAACTGGAGATCCGGAGCAGAGCCCAGGAGGACCGCAGACAACGAGCAGCAATTCTTTTTCTTCTAAGTTTCTAGTCTGAATATATGGGCATGTCATATTCTGGTGTGTCTTATATTCCACGAAATATGTTATATATAGTAAATTAGATACTAATCAGCATACTGTCTGTAACCACTTGACTTATCCTTATTATTTAGCCGATACATATTTAAAATGCATTAGACCAGGCTGAAGGAAAATTTCTGATGCCGTTATTGGTTTGTTAAAAGTCTGAAGATCCTGTGCCTTTTAAATGCTTTCACCACCTTGCATGGAAACCTGTCATACCACACTGTATATTTATATTTTTAAACAAAATGTCAAGCCTTTATTCTGAATATGTCAATATGGCGAGATTGTTCAAAAGTGACATTAGTTTGGATGGAAATTGAAACATATCTCAGAAATATTTATAGAAAACTGAATGCTGTGCTATTCAAATTCCCTATTCAATCTTGCATTATTGTTGGTTTCTAAACATTTAAATAGAATTGATTTCTAGGAGACTTAGTATCTATGTTGCATTTCCTGGTTTCGTAAAATGAATAAATAGGAAATGTTTAGCTTGTCTACCACATCAGTATTGTTTGAACATATTCTAACTGCAGTCAGTCATTTTTCTTGACTGGTTTGACTTGAAAATAACAGGTTATTACAAAGATATTTGATGTTCCCTAGCAGAAACAATACAGTGTACTTCCTTATTGTTAAAGGGTTGCCTCAAGCCTGCTATAGTTGTTATGGTGCAAGGAGTACCCTGTACCCTGGCCTGGTTCCCCGGTAATGGGGAAAATTATTTGCCCTTCTGTGTTATATTTATTTATGCTCATTGTTACTTTTCCCCTCATAGTACCGTGAAAAGTCTTCTGTTTCACAATTCATTTGTTTAGATGCAGATTCGACTAATTAATAGAACGTCCAGCTAATAAGGATTGGAAGATATAACAGATATTCTCAGGAGTTAAGCCACAGGGATCCTGAGAGCCCTCTAATATGCTCAAAGTAGTCAGTCACTAGTCAGTGACATGTACCCTTGTGTTGCTGCATCCAGGGGGAATAAAGTTGAATGGCGATATACTTACCTGATGCTTTTCATTGTAGGTTCCACCATTTAGTGATGGCTCTGGGAACTGACAAATGTTGATGGTGGTAGCTCAATGTTTGTCACGTTTTTTCACTTTAGACTTTGACCGTGAGACAAAGTAGTCCTTACGTTGACATATGATATCTTTTGGTTGTGTTGGAAATGAATGGAAAGTCATTATGATTATTTTGTAAAGTATTTATCTTTATGAAATACTCAAAAGTGACAGGAAAGTGACAATGCAGCCATAAGATCCAATACAGTGGAACCTCGGTTAACGAACACCTCGGTAAATGAAAAATTCGGTTTACGAATGAGAATCCGAAAAAAAAATTTTTCTCGGTTTACGAAGTTTTTTCGCAATACGAAATAAGTGTCCCCATTTATAGCTCCGCCCCCCTGCATACTGGAGTTTGGGTAGCACATGAGTGTGCAGGTGTTGGAGCCATTTGCAGCAAGTTTTGGAGCCTTTTGGGGCCATTTGCAGCAAGTTGTGGAGCCTTTTGGAGCCATTTGCAGCAAGTTTTGGAGCCTTTTTGGTGCATCTCAAGAGGTGGAAAGGTAGGGAGCTGAGCTTAGTTGTTTGCATGCCTTTTACTGTGTGTTCTGCATTGTGTGGTGATTTCCATGCCAACTCATATGCTGTGCATGCCTGTTACTGTGTGTTTTGCATTGTGGGTTTGCTTTCCATGCCAGCTCATGTGCTGTGCATGCCTGTCACAGCTCATATGCTGTGCATGCTTGTTACACTACTGTACTGTGTGTTTTACAATGTGGGGTTGTTTTCCATGCCAGCTCATGTGCTGTGCATGCCTGTTACTGTGGTTTCCATGCCAGCTCATGTGCTGTGCATGCCTTTTACTGTATGTTTTGCATTGTGGGGTTGTTTTCCATGCCAGCTCATGTGGGTGTAAAGCATTTTTTTGCATACTTAGTAACGGTGGTGTCATGGCACCCAAAAAAGCAGCGGGAGCTGGGAAGAGGAAAAAGGAGATGATTTTGCTTGAGGACAAGAAATAACTCATCAGGAAGCATGAAGGAGGAATGCGATTGACTGACCTCGCCAAAGAGTATGGAAGGAGTGCATCCACAATCACTACAATCCTAAAAATGAAAGAGAAGATAACTGGGAGAGATGCAGCCAAGGGAGTCACCAGGGTCTCCAAGCAACGGCCACCTGTTCTGGAGGAGGTCGAGAAGTTGCTCCTGCACTGGATTGAACAGAAGCAGCGTGCAGGGGACTCAGTGACCAAGGCGATCATCTGCGAAAAAGCCAAGGCCTTGCACGCTGACCTCCTCAAACAACAGCCAGGAACGTCAGCAGGTGCAGAACGCTTCAAGGCCAGCAGGGGGGTTCGAAAGGTTCAAGACCAGATCTGGAATCCACAGTGTGGTCAGGCATGGAGAGGCTGCAAGTTCCAATGTTGCTGCAGCTGAGGAATTTGCTAAGGAGTTCCTGGAGGTCCTACTTTCAGAGGGCTACCTTCCTCAGCAGGTCTTCAACTGTGACGAGACTGGACTCTACTGGAAGAGGATGCCAAAGCGTACCTTCATCACAGAAGAGGAGACCTCATTGCCTGGCCACAAGCCGATGAAGGACCGTCTCACCTTCCTGTTCTGCGCCAACGCCAGTGGGGATCTTAAGATCAAGCCCCTGCTTGTCTACCATTCAGAGAACCCATGGGCCTTCAAGAAACACAAGGTGAACAAGGAGCAGTTGAGCCTTTTGTGGCAGTCTACCCAAAGGCTTGGGTCACACGCCTCTTGTTTGTGAAGTGGGTCAATGCGGTTTTTGATCCTGCTGTGAAGAAGTACCTTGTGGACAATAACCTGCCACTCAAGGCTATGCTGCTCATGGACAATGCTCCTGCCCATCCTCCAGGCCTTGAGGAAGACTTGCTGGAAGACTTTAATTTCATCAAGGTCATGTTCCTTTCGCCTAACACCACCCCACTACTTCAGCCAATGGACCAGCAGGTCATCTCCAATTTTAAAAAACTCTACACAAGGGAGCTTTTCCGGCGATGCTTTGAGATGACAGATTGCTCAAGCCTCACCTTCCATGAATTTTGGAGAGAACATTTTGACATTGTGAGCTATCTGCAATCACCATTGCCTAGGCCGGGGAAAGCCTGACAAACCTAAATTCTGCTTGGCGCAACCTGTGGCCAGACTGTGTTGTGAAACCTGCCTCCAGTGCTTCTGCACCAGAGTCAACAGTTTTTTATCATAATAAATTTATTTTCTACCTGTACCTGGTTACTTGGTTCCTGATTTACCTGATTGAGGACTGCAAACACCTCCTGGGGGACCTAAACATTGGATCCATGTACATCTGAATGATTCGTTCTACCTAGTTTAGAGCAAACTTATAAATGCTCATCAAATTGTGAGTTTTTCCAAGCTTCTCAATTGAATATTATATGTTTGGCATACTACCCTATGTTGGTGTTCTACTTTTACAGAACCTAGGGACGTACCACAAACTTGTGGACTTATAAGCTACCTGCGCAATCACCTATTCCCGTTTTTCCAGAGTCAACAGTGTTGGAGGAAATTGTTTCCTTGGGGAGGACCATGGGCCTGGAGGTGACTTAGGAGGATGTCTACGAGCTGGTGGAGGAACACGACCGTGACCTAACCACCGAGGAGCTGGTGGAATTGCAGAAGGAGGCACTGGAGGAGCAGATCATATTTGAGGAGGAGGAGGAAATGAGTGAGGAACAGCTCTCTTCCACTGAATCTCTTCCACTGAACTCAAGGAGGCATGCCAAATGTGGGTAAACCTACAGACTTTTGTACAGCAGCACCACCCAGATAAGGCTCTAGCCCACAGACTTGTGAGCAGTTTTGACACAGACATGTCCCCTTTCCGAGGGATGCTTAAAGGGCGCCAAAGGCAGCAGACAATGGAAAGGTTCCTACAAAAACAGCCTAGACATGAAGAAGAACCTGCTTGTGTTAGTGCTGCCCAATTTCCCTCGTCCTCCTCATCTTCCAAAAAGTGTTGAAATTGTTTTGAAATGTTCCATGTTTTCCCTGTTGACTTGTGATTTATGTAAGTTGAAGTGTACTGTACCATGTTACCAACAGTCTGCCATGTTTTAAAAGTTGATGTGTGATGTTTTAAAACATAAAGTTGGATGCTTGATTAATCATGTCCCTGTACAGTATTTATGCCTTTAAAGTGCACTTTATAAAGCGTTTTGAACAGATAAAATACTCTATTTGACTTTTTTCTCACCTCCAGAATGCATTAATTGGTTTTCAGTGCATTCCTATGGGAAACCGTGTTTCGGTATACCAATTTTTCGCAATACGAAACGTCCCGGAGAACGCATTAAATTCGTAAACCGAGGTCCCACTGTATTGTAAATGTCAACAGGACCTTGCTGATTCTTACATACAGTTGCAAGAAAAAGTATGTGAACCCTTTGGAATGATATGGATTTCTGCACAAATTGGTCATAAAATGTGATATAATCATTATCTAAGTCACAACAATAGACAATCACAGTCTGCTTAAACTAATAACACACAAAGAATGAAATGTTGCCATGTTTTTATTGAACACACCATGTAAACATTCACAGTGCAGGTGGAAAAAGTATGTGAACCCCTAGACTAATGACATCTCCAAGAGCTAATTGGAGTGAGATGTCAGCCAACTGGAGTCCAATCAATGAGATGAGATTGGAGGTGTTGGTTACAGCTGCCCTGCCCTATAAAAAACACACACCAGTTCTGGGTTTGCTTTTCACAAGAAGCATTGCCTGATGTGAATGATGCCTCGCACAAAAGAGCTCTCAGAAGACCTACGATTAAGAATTGTTGACTTGCATAAAGCTGGAAAGGGTTATAAAAGTATCTCCAAAAGCCTTGCTGTTCATCAGTCCATGGTAAGACAAATTGTCTATAAATGGAGAAAGTTCAGCACTGCTGCTACTCTCCCTAGGAGTGGCCGTCCTGTAAAGATGACTGCAAGAGCACAGCGCAGACTGCTCAATGAGGTGAAGAAGAATCCTAAAGTGTCAGCTAAAGACTTACAAAAGTCACTGGCAAATGCTAACATCCCTGTTAGCGAATCTACAATACGTAAAACACTAAACAAGAATGGATTTCATGGGAGGATACCACAGAGGAAGCCACTGCTGTCCAAACAAAACATTGCTGCACGTTTACAGTTTGCACAAGAGCACCTGGATGTTCCACAGCAGTACTGGCAAAATATTCTGTGGACAGATGAAACCAAAGTTGAGTTGTTTGGAAGAAACACACAACACTATGTGTGGCGAAAAAAAGGCACAGCACACCAACATCAAAACCTCATCCCAACTGTGAAGTATGGTGGTGGGGGCATCATGGTTTGGGGCTGCTTTGCTGCGTCAGGGCCTGGACGGATTGCTATCATCGAAGGAAAAATGAATTCCCAAGTTTATCAAGACATTTTGCAGGGGAACTTAAGGCCATCTGTCTACCAGCTGAAGCTCAACAGGACAATGACCCAAAGCATAGAAGTAAATCAACAACAGAATGGCTTAAACAGAAGAAAATATGCCTTCTGAAGTGGCCCAGTCAGAGTCCTGACCTCAACCCGATTGAGATGCTGTGGCATGACCTCAAGAAAGCGATTCACACCAGACATCCCAAGAATATTGCTGAACTGAAACAGTTCTGTAAAGAGGAATGGTCAAGAATTACTCCTGACCGTTGTGCACGTCTGATCTGCAACTACAGGAAACGTTTGGTTGAAGTTATTGCTGCCAAAGGAGGTTCAACCAGTTATTAAATCCAAGGGTTCACATACTTTTTCCACCTGTACTGTGAATGTTTACATGGTGTGTTCAATAAAAACATGGCAACATTTCATTCTTTGTGTGTTATTAGTTAAGGGAGACTGTGATTGTCTATTGTTGTGACTTAGATGATGAACAGATCACATTTTATGACCAATTTGTGCAGAAATCCATATCATTCCAAAGGGTTCACATACTTTTTCTTGCAACTGTACATCATGTGAATTCTACATACTACAGAGGAGCACTTGTTATCCAGGGAAAATATCGATTTGGTAACCCCTAGAAGTGAATTAATTGGGCAGCATACCATGCCGCCTAACTAACATAATGCTATAAGATAAGGACTAACCCATATATTCTGTAAAGAAGTGATCACAGAATAATTTTTGTAGCAGATATAAAGGGACACTCTATTGCCCAAGTACAAAATAAATAAAGATCATTGTTTAGTAGACAGTGGCGTACACATGACCCATGGGGCTCCGGTGCGAAAATTGATCCGTGCCCCCCCGCCCCCGCTTACTCTGCGCGGGCCGGGGCCACAACACATGGCGGCGGGCACCTGGTCGCAGGGGTTGCAGGGCTGCGACCCCTGCAACCGCGGTATGTACACCAGTGCATGCAGATGCACACACACTTAAAGGACCACTACAGACACCCAGATCACATCAGCTCAATGAAGTGGTCTGGGTGCCAGGTCCCTCTAGTTTTAACCCTGTAGCTGAAAACATAGCAGTTTCAGAGAAACTGCAATGTTTCACTTAGGGTTAATTCAGCCTCTAGTGGCTGTCTCATTGACAGCCGCTAGAGGAGCTTCCGCGATTCTCACTGTGAAAATCACAGTGATAAGACACTGAACGTCCATAGGAAAGCATTGAGTAATGCTTTCCTATGGGCGGTTTGAATGCGCTGAAGACACACACACACACTGTCACGAACAGACGCATACACACTAGCTAACAGACACACATTTACTGACAGAGACACACTCAGTGACAGACACATACACACTCACTTACAAAACATACACTTTCACCGACAAACACACTCACTAACAGACACACACAGTAACACACTCACTGACACTCACTAGCAGACACAAACTCAATAACAGACAGACTCACTGACACTCACTAGCAGACACACACTCTAACACACACATTCTAGCACACACACACTAACACACACACTAACACACACACACTCTAACACACACACACTAACACACACACTAACACACACACACACATTTTTTTTTTAAATTTAATCCCCCCAGCCTCCTTACCTGTGGGAGAGATGAGGGTATTCCCTGGGGTCCGGTGGTGTCACCCGGCACTCTTCCCTGAGTGCTTCCTCTTCAGCTCCCTCGCGTGTCGCGTACTGATACCGGATGACGGATGACACACACACTAACACACACACACTAACACACACACTAACACACTCACACACACACTAACACACTAAGACTCACACATGTTTTTTTTTTAAAATTTAATCCCCCCAGCCTCCTTACCTGTGGGAGAGATGAGGGTATTCCCTGGGGTCCGGTGGTGTCACCCGGCACTCTTCCCTGAGTGCTTCCTCTTCAGCTCCCTCGCGTGTCGCGTACTGATACCGGATGACGGATGACACACACACTAACACACACACACTAACACACACACTAACACACTCACACACACACTAACACACTAAGACTCACACATGTTTTTTTTTTAAAATTTAATCCCCCCAGCCTCCTTACCTGTGGGAGAGATGAGGGTATTCCCTGGGGTCCGGTGGTGTCACCCGGCACTCTTCCCTGAGTGCTTCCTCTTCAGCTCCCTCGCGTGTCGCGTACTGATACCGGATGACGGATGACACACACACTAACACACACACACTAACACACACACACTAACACACACACTAACACACTCACACACACACTAACACACTAAGACTCACACATGGTTTTTTTTTTTTAAATTTAATCCCCCCAGCCTCCTTACCTGTGGGAGAGCTGAGGGGATTCCCTGGGGTCCAGTGGTGTCACCTGGTGGGCAGGCTGGCGGGCGCGCGAGGGAGCACTCTCCCCTGAGTGCTTCCTCTTCAGCTCCCTCGCGCGTTGCGTATTGATACCGGATGACTGATGATGTCATCTTCCAGCTCCGGTATCAGTGCGGTGCGCGAGGGAGCTGAAGAGGAAGCACTCAGGGGAGAGTGCTCCCTCGTGCGCCCACCAGCCTGCACGCCGGATGACACCAGGGCCAGCCTCGGGGGGCCCTGAGGTGGCCAGCTCCTGGGCCCTCCAGGAGAAGAGGCTGGCCACACTGGCATACATACCGGGTCGCAGGGGCGGCCAGGCCCCCAGGTGGGCTGGGCCCGGTCGCAACCGCGACCCCTGCTACCCCGGTATGTACGCCACTGTTAGTAGATATACGTCAAATAAAAACATGCATGAATTTAATAATGCATTTTTTTTATTAGGGGTATATCATGAAAACAGCTTGCATTCCTTGCATTTCTCTTCTCTGCAGTCTCTGCAAACCCTCCCCTTCTAGCCCCACCAAGACTTTCTATGTCTGTCCAATCACAGACTTCCTAATGCAGCTCAATGAGAAGTATTTGCAAGGCAGGTGCTCTGTCCAATTGCTGCGTCTTGAGTTTAGCTACATTGAGCTAAACAAACCAGGAAGTAATAGAACCGGTTGTCTGGAGGAAACCAAGGGGGTGTTGTGATGAAGTGCCCTTCGTCACTTGTGCCTGGAGAGAACTAATTACCAGCCTCTTGCCGTATGACTATGGCCCCTGGAAGATTTTGCCCTTTAAATACGTTATTTGGGCACAGTGGATTTTATTAGACTGGTTCTGGCCCTTTAAATGCTCTGACAAAGGATCTGCAGTTTTTCTATGCACTTCGGATGCAGAGTGTGAGGAAAACCCCTGTTTTATGGACTTAGTTTGACTGTTTTATCCCCCTGCCCCCTCTTAGAACACCAGTTTAAAAACCCTTATGTCTAGACTATAGGCACCCAGACCACTTCAGCTTAAGAAGGAGAGCTCCCTGCCCGGTGCTGGAGAAAGAGGTAAGTTTAACCCCTTCCTCACCCTAGAGCCCGGCGGGGAGGGGGACCCTGAGGGTGGGGGCACCCTCAGGGCACTATAGTGCCAGGAAAATGAGTATGTTTTCCTGGCACTATAGTGGTCCTTTAATAACTGTCATTTAAAACACTGTCTGACGTTTTTACTGTCATTTTGTTTTCCTCTGAGGAGTTGTTTTGCTGCATGCGTGCTGTTGCTTTTGTGTGATCATTAAACAAACCTGCTTGACCCTTTCTTGAAGCCTTGGCTCATGCTTGGGGGGATGGGATAAGTCTGCAGTGCTGATGGTGTCGGTTGGAGTGCTTGGAGTCCTCGGCAAGCATCGATTGGCGGAGTTACTCGGTCGGAGTTCCAGCGCGTCCGTCACAGGTGTAACCATTTTAATTTATAAAAGTGCCAATTTCTAATGAAATCTACATTCTTCACACATAAAACTTTTCAGCAAGTTTAAGTGCGCCAGGGGCCTAGAGTGTCATTTAGTGTGTAGCAATCACAAGAACATTACCAAATGAGATCACGTGGTCAAGAGCAATGCAGTAATAAAAAAGTACCATTCTCTCTTTCTTTATTTCTTAGACAAGAAGTGGAAAAAATATTTTACTTTATAGAAAAAGCTGCAATATGAGTAGGAAAGACCAGGGCTTCCTGTTGTGAGTACTAAGTATACACAATTAAAGTAGCACAATTTAAAAAGGTAAATTAGCACTTTCTGGTGATAATTTCCATCTAACAGCCAGCAGTATTTCCTGTCAGGGTGATTTAAGGACTTTTTGTGCAGCCATTGTTTGACTGTTGCCTGATTGCCTCATCTTTTCTAACAGCAGGCTAATAACGCTCAAATCTCTGTTTTCATCCTAAAGGGTTAACCATTAAGTCACCGCTGTCTTTTCTTGATTAACATCTTTGCCTGTTGTCTCCTTTTTTTCTGCTTTTGGCATGCTACCAAAAAGATCCTGTAGCCCAAGCACAGACAAGCAAGGTTACATTCTGAAAATTAATCATTGCGCAAGTGAAGAGGCAAATGGTGTATGCCGTATGCATTGTGCGCCGAGCTGAATATTGTTAATCAATAGTATTCTACAGCATGTTAGGGTCAACAGCACTACCGAGGTGCATGTTTTAAGCTATAACAAATTACACAGTGCTTTTAATATCTACAGCCTCATAATGATGCACAGCCAGTTCTACTCAGTATTACAAGACTATAATAAAACACTTAATGGGGGTGAAGCTTCGTCTTGCAAAAAAAAAAATTGTGAAGCATCTAATAAGGAACAAGGTTGTTTCCTGAAATGATAATCACATAACTTATATTTGTCTACAGTGTGGACAAAACAGTTTTTGTAACTGGTGCTTATTTTTTTTTTTAACGATAGAGTATTACATTTCTGACTTGAAATATATTTTTATTTAAAGGGGCAGGAAAAATAAACAAAAGGTCGTACCCCGTAACTTCAACATAATAAATAATGGAAATAATGGGTTCAATGAAATACTTAAAATAGCTTAATTGTGTTTTATTTGTTATCTCTTTCTCACTCTCGATTTCTATTGTGTAGGTCTTGCCACGTCTCGATGTGGTATAACAGGCTTCTAGATTATGTTGTCTTCACTACAGCAATAAGGTCTTAATATAGTTGTGGCCACACAAGTATCTGAATCAGTTTGCAAATTTTTGCTATTTTGTTGAACTTGAGAGATTGGTGTCTTATGCAAAGTGTTAACAGAGTGCACAATTTAAA